ATATATATATATATATATATATTACTAATTTGGTCTCTTTTAACATTAACATTCTTATATGTCCTTAATTTAACCTTTATACATATTCACATTTTTAATTTCATCATATAACACTTTTTTAATTTGATTCATAAATGTAAAGACTAAGGGGATATTTGTTTTAAGAAATAATATTATATTTTCAAAAATTATATTTCTAAGAATAATATAATCTGAAATGTTATTCCAAAAAATAGAAGAAAAAATATTTAATTTATTCTAATATTTCTTGAAATATTTTTCAAAAATTTAAAATAATTTAAATGGAAATAGAAGTTACAATAGTTATAAAAAATAATTTTCAATATTTTCATGAGAATATTACTTATCCACTCTCCGCCATTGAAATAAAACTCCCTACTCATGAGGATATCATTTTTCCAAAAATAAAAGATATCTAAAAATATTATTACATGACCTTCTAATATGTTTGTCTCACTCAACATTTAATTATCAACAGTTAAATCATCGTCATACATTCCAAATCAATGTAGGATCAACATACAAGGTATTACATTAAACCTTCATTTTATTTCATACAAACATCCAACTTATAAAACAAAGAAGGAACTAAGCGCTTTAAGTGCTCCAGACCTTGCTCTAAGCGACAAAAATTTGCTTTAAGTTCTAAGAAATTCATTTGGAGTGAGCTTAAACAGAGAGTATCGAGTTTCAATTTGGTTGCTTAAGTGACAACGTCCTCACTCTAAGCAACGAAACTTGCTCAAATGGCTCACAAATTTACTTTAAGCGAGCGATGTTAGGGACCACCTTGAAACTCCACATCCCCTTGCTCTAAGCTACCGAAATTCCCTCTAAGCAATCATAATTTGCTTTAAACAAACCAAGTTAAAGAGCACACCATATTTGGTTGCATAAGCTCATTTGGAGTGAGTAAGTTCTCACTCTAAGTGAGTCTACCCCTAAACCTACATATTCAAAGCTCAAGAACAGTGACCCAAACAATCACCTTAACCATTGCAAACCCACTCAACCCCATACCACAATATCTATATATATATATGCATACAAAGCCACCATTCATATATATAAATTCACAACATTTCATTATGCACCAAAATTACAACATGTAGCAACAATTTCAATCAAGTTCAATACTCATATTAGCCATCTCAAGAACACCCAAAACCCACCCTCTACATCATACAATTTGAAATTTTCAACTATATGCTCATACTTGATCAGAATCAACAACATGCAATCCAACCATCTCATTCACAATCAATCATAGCTTTTCTTACATTAAATTTGAAGAGAATAAGGAGGAAGGAAAAAGAAATCAAGCTCCAGGAAAACTCCGCATGGAACCACTACTGCTCGATTCTCAGCCTTCTAAGCCTTAAATCTCTGCATCACTCCTACAACTAAGCTATGGGAAGATCACAACACCCTAAAAAGGCTTATGCTCATAGAAGAAGAGATTCTCTCAAGCTTTAGAGCTCCTCTATCTAATTCCTCTCTACAATTCTAGAGTTATGAACTTATGAAATTCATTCCTCAAAAATCAACTTATATACCTTAGTCCTCTCCAACCAACTCTTACGTACTTAAGTTATATCAACAAAACAATACAAAATAAAATAATTAATCACATTTATTACAATAAATATAATTAAGAAAGGATTGTATTACAAAAATAAAGACGAAAGATATGATTTAGCCTAAATATTATTAAATATCATTTTTTATATTATTTATTTAATGTCAAATTATGATTATTATAATTTTAGCAATTAAAAAATAAAAAAATAAATTTAAATTATATATCTAAAATTTGAAATATTAAAATTGTGAATTAAATATTATTACATGATCAATTACAATTTAATTAAAATTAATTACATATAAAAATCTAATTAAGGTATTAAATAATTGCAGGTATCATAATCAAAGTCATTTACTAACTTAATAGAAAAATGATTTTATAAGGATAATTTTAATCTATCTAAATGAGTTTTTTTTTTTAAAACAATTTTAAGGATACATGGTCAAAGTCTTTTGAAATTAATTTTTTCAATCTCCATGTTTAAGGTTAAATTTTTAGAAACTTTTATAATTAACCAAATCAATTTTAACCATTCACATAAATCATAATTCTTGAGATTTATGACCAAAAATTATGATTTTTATATATGGGAAAATTTCTCTCCTTCCGAACGAGCCCTTAAAAAAACACTCTTAGTCCAGGCATAATCTAAAAAATTAGCTATAAGGCAACAATACCTGATAAAAGTAGCCCAATAAAGGCCAAAATAAAAAACTTTACCTAATGCGTTGAGGACATTAATTTAAATAATATTAATCAAACGCCCAAGTGGAGCCATCAATATGCAAAAGAAACGCCTCCTAACCACTCACTGAATTCATTCATCGATTTAAAAATAAAAAATAAAAAACTCCATTTAGTATTCATTAAACCTTTAACCTTTAACGGTTAATACAACTAGAAAAATCACTTATCACTGAATATTTTTAAATTGAAGTAAGATATAAAAATAAAAATATCGTCATTATTTAATCATAAAAAATAATTTAATCACTTTAAAAATATATATTTAATGTATTTTATAATCTGTCAATACTATAAAATGTTTGATATTAGTAATATATTAAAATTATTCATTTCTATAATATTTATTTAAAATTACATTATAATTAAATAATAATATATTCTGTCGCATATACAAGACAGGACCCCTGATTGCTTAAGCGTGGATCAACCCTTACCGCTGAACCACACGCTTAAAATTATATTTATATAGTTTTAGTAACAATGCGAAATTAGAATGATATTTAAGTTTATAATATAAGTTTTAAATTAATAAATTAATATTTACAGGATTTATTTATTGTTTTTATTGAGAATTTGGCATTTGCCTGAGGCAGGGGTGGGAACGGTGAGGACAGGACAGTTTGCCACCAACCCACAAAGCTAAAACTGAAAGGTAACACAGCACAGCAGCTGCGACCAGAAGGAGAGAGAAACAAGAGAGAGAAACTCAACACAACACAGAGACAACATTGCATACCCAAAACATAGAGATCCAACCAACACAGATAAATTTAAACAAATATTAATAATATTATAGTTGTTACACCTCAACTTCTTCATCTCAAATACCTCAACTTCTTCATCTCAAATACCTCAACGTTACTACTCAAATTTATGGTCAGTTACTTCGTTTCTCTATTTCACGTTTTATGTTTTCTTTTACACTCCTTCAAAAAAGTTCAACGATTCATCTCTCTCCCATGCCTCTAACCGTAACCTCCTCACTGCCTTTTCTCTATACAATTCAATTCTCTTTTTCTATTGATCTTCACTTTTAGTTTCGAGTTCAATTATCTGGATTTGATTGATCAGGTAGTTTCGATTACATGCTTGCCATCTCCTGCTTCATCATCATAATTCTTGTTGAAGTTTGAATACGGATTGATGATTTGTCATCTTCTGATGCTTTAAAAAAAATATTTATGTTCTTGTTGATTTGCCAAATTCTGAGATATTGATAATTTTGGATTTTCTGTTGTTTTAATTGGAATTTATTATTATTTTTTTGTTTTATCAGGTAGTTTGTAATTATTTCGGCATGTCAGGAATTTGTTCATTCAGTTTTGGAGGTCAATTGAGGTCTAACCGATCAGGTATTGATGTGCTGTTTCAGATCATTTTTTATGAAAGAAAAAGACACGGCTTAGATTTGTCTGAAACTGAACGCTTGTTTTCATTTGGTTTTGTTTGTTCCAATGAATACGCACAAGCAGAAACGGCGTAGACTTGGTTGACTTTGTAGTTGCTTCTTCGAATCTTTCGAGGGTTAAGTTCCCTTTGCTGGAGCCATGGCGCATCTGTCTCAAGCAAATTCTAGAAGAATGTATTCATGGTGGTGGGACAGCCACATAAGCCCCAAAAACTCAAAATGGCTCCAGGAAAATCTGACAGGTAATGCCTTTTATGTTTTATCTCTCTGCATTTGGTAGTAATTGTGTTTAACATGTTAGAATTGTTCATGAACTGACAACTTCATGGTGGATATTGAATTACATCGTTTATTGATTTGATATCTATAGGAAATCTGTTTTCTCCTTCATTTCTTTTATATATTATATATTATATGTATTTGCTGAGATTGCTATGATTATAAGGCCTTGAAAGTGTATAATATTGAACTGGCAAATGGAAGTATATTTCATCTTTGGTAACGTCTGCCACATAAATATAATGTGGTTTAAACCTCTGTTTTCAGTTTCACTTAAAAATTTGATGGCATTTACCTGATGCAGACAAGTTGAGACTTTATAAAGGGCATATTTGGACTTCTATGGAATCATTTTTCTGAAACTGCAAATGTGTATTTATATATATTTTCGAATCACCTTTCCTAATTTATATCTTCAAAATATATTTTTTTTATAGCTTTAGATGTTGAAACACGAGGATATGTGATTTATTTTGTTTTACAAAATATCAGCTCTTTCCTATAGGGACATGTTACATGCTGTGTGTGTGATTGTCTGTTGATCCATCTACTTCCTTTATTTCTATCCGTCTTCTCAATTATATCATTTATTTGCTTAATCACTCAGAGAGATGTGGCAACATTTAATTTTTTTTGTTATCATCCATTTGGTGCTGTCTGTTTTTAAGCACATTTGAACTTATCATAAGGATATTTTCCTCTTTCACAGATATGGATGTCAAGGTGAAGCAAATGATTAAGCTTATTGAAGAAGATGCAGATTCTTTTGCCAGGAGAGCAGAAATGTATTATAAAAAACGCCCGGAACTTATGAAAATGGTTGAAGAGTTTTATCGAGCATATCGGGCATTGGCTGAGAGATATGATCATGCAACTGGAGTCATCCGCCATGCCCACAAGACCATGACTGAGGCATTTCCTAATCAAGTTCCTATGATGCTGACAGATGATTTACCTACTGAGCCACTTACTCCAGATATGCGCCACCCTTCACGTGCGTTTCTTGATCCAGATGAACCACAAAAGGATGCTTCCGCTCGTTTGCATGCTATCAAAAGAAATGGTGCTTATTCTGGTGAACCCGATTCTGCTATGAACAAAACAGGTTTGAAACAGCTCAATGATCTCTACGTCCCTGGAGAACCTGAAAATCATACAAAGTTTGTAGAAGGGCATGCTAGAAGGGGGCTCAGTTTTTTTGAGATGCAGGAGGAGAGTAGTGACCTAAACAATGGAAGCAACATTACTGGATCTCAAGTCTTGTCTGAGTCTGAACGCATGACAAAAGCTGAGACAGAAATTTTGGCCTTGAAGAAAGCCATTGCCAAATTAGAAGAAGAAAAGGAGGCTGGCTTGCTTCAGTATCAGCAGAGTTTGGAAAAATTGTCTAATCTGGAGTCAGAAGTGTCTAGTGCGCAAGCAAATTCTCAAAGACTTGATGAGCGAGCAAGTAAAGCTGAAGCTGAAGTTCAAGCCTCAAAGGAAGCCCTAATCAAATTACAAGCTGAAAGTGAAGCCTGTCTTCTACAGTACCAGGAATGCTTGGAGAAAATATCTAATCTGGAGAAAAATATTTCTTCTGCACAGAAGGAAGCAGGAGAACTTAATGATCGAGCTACTACTGCTGAAAATGAAACTGAGTCCTTAAAGCAGGAACTTGCTAGAGTAGAAGCTGAAAAGGAAGCAACCCTTGTTCAATATAAAGAGTGTTTGGAGACAATATCAAAACTGGAGGAGAGATTAGCAGAAGCTGAGGAGAATGCAAGAAGAATTAAGGATCATGCCAATATAACAGAAAATGAAATTGAGGCTTTGAAATTAGAAGTTACTAAACTTAATGAAGAAAAGGAAGATGCTGCTATCCGTTATCAGCAATGCTTGGAGATAATTTCCAGTTTGGAGTATAAACTCTCTTGTGCTGAAGAGGAGGTGCGTAGGCTAAAGTCCAAGATAGATGATGAGGTTCAAAAGTTACAGAGTTCTGAACAAAAATGTCTTCTCTTGGAGACATCCAATCACTCTATGCAGTCTGAATTACAATCTTTGGCACAAAAAATGGAGTCTAACAATGAAGAAATTAATGAGAAGCAGAAGGAATTGAATAGACTTTGGGGTTGCATACAGGAGGAGAGATTGCGATTCATTGAGGCTGAAACTGCTTTCCAAACTCTTCAGCAGTTGCATTCTCAATCTCAGGAAGAGCTTAGATCTCTTGCTGCTGACTTTCATAGTAAAGTGGAAATACTGGGGAATGTGGAATCACGTAAGCAGGCTTTAGAAGACGAAGTACTCAGGGTGACTGAGGAAAACAAAATTCTAAACGAGGTCAAAATTTCCTCGTCTTTGTCTATAAAGAATTTGCAGGAGGAGATTTTGAATTTGAGGGAGACAATAGAGAAACTTGAACAGGAGGTGGAGTTGCGAATTGATGAAAGAAATGCTCTTCAGCAAGAAATTTACTGTCTTAAGGAGGAGCTTAATGATTTGAATAAAAAACATGAAGCCATGATGGAGGAAGTCAGGTCAACCGACTTAGACCCACAGAGCTTTGGATCATCCGTGAAAAAATTGCAAGATGAGAACTTAAAGCTGAAGGAAACATGTGAGGCTGACAAAGGAGAGAAAGAAGCTCTTTTGGTTAAATTGGAAGCCATGGAGAAACTTCTAGAGAAAAATACTGTTCTAGAGAATTCCCTTTCAGACTTGAATGCTGAGCTGGACAGTGTCAGAGGAAGGGTAAATGTGTTGGAAGAAACATGTCAATCTCTGCTAGTGGAGAAATCAAATCTTGCTGCTGAGAAGGCCGCCTTGTTTTCTCAGTTACAATCCACAACTGAAAATCTTGAGAAGCTCTCGGAAAAGAGCAACCTATTGGAAAATTCACTATTTGATGTGAATGCTGAACTTGAAGGGTTAAGGGTGAAGTACAAGGCACTGGAAGACACATGCCAGTCACTTGACCATGAGAAATCCAGTATCTTTCAAGAGAAAGAATCCTTAGTGTCACAATTGAACATAACTCATGAAACAGTGAAAGATCTTGAGAAACTGCACAGTGAATTGGAATTAAAGCATTTGGAACTAAAAGGAGAAAGGGAGTCAGCACTTCAAAAGGTAGAGGAGCTGCTAGTTTCCCTATACTCTGAGAGGGAAGAACATTCCAGAGTTTTGAAATTGAATGAAGATGAATTGGCTGAGAAGGAATCACAAATCCATACTCTACAAGAAGATGCAAATTGCAAGGAAAAGGAATATGAAGAGGAACTGGACAGAACTATGCATGCTCAAATTGAAATTTTCATCTTGCAGAAATGTATCAACGATTTGGAGAAAAAGAACTTCTCCCTTTTAGTCGAGTGTCAGAGACTTTTGGAGGCTTCCAAAATGTCTGACAGAATGATATCTAAATTGGAGAGTGAAAATGTTCAAAAGCAGGTTGATGTGAATTCTCTATCTGAGAAAATTAAAATACTAAGGATTGGGCTGATTCAGGTGTTGAAGACTCTTGACATTAACGGTGGGCATTTTCGTGAAGATATGCTTGAAGAAGACCAAATGCTTCTGAACCATATATATGGAAAACTTCAGGAGAGGCAGGAATCTTTTGACACAATTTTCAATGAAAGCCAACAAATGGCCATTGAGAATTCAGTTCTGATTACATTCCTTGAGCAGTTGAAACTAAAGGTAGAAAATCTTGTGACACAAAGAGATGCTCTTGATGAGGAGTTCAGTATCCAGTCTAAGCAGTTCTTGGCCATGCAAGTTGAAGTCCAAAAGATATTGGAGAAGAATCTGGAGTTGAAGTTGACAATAAACAAAGGAGAAGAGAGAATGGAAGTAATGACAACTGAAATAGACAACCTACGGAAGCAGCTGTCAGACCTGGAAAAGAGTCACAACAATTTACAGGAAGATAATTGCAAGATATTGGAAGATAAGTCGTCCTTGATGAGAAGATTTCTAGATCTGGGTGAAGAGAAAAGTAACTTGGAAGAAGAAATATGTGTCATGATCCATGAGATAATATCTCAATCTAATAGTTCACTGATTTACCAGAATATTATCTTTGAGAAGCACTTGGAACTTAAAGAGCTAGGTGATAATCTTGATAAACATTGTTCAGAAAATAATGACCTTGAGGAGAGATTGAAAGTAATGGTGTGCAAATTAGAAAATGCAGAAATGGAAAATTCACATCTTAAAGAGTCATTTATAAAGTCAAATGTTGAACTAAATTTAGTTGAATCCATCAATCATCAATTGAGTTGCCAGATTAGCGATGAAAGGGAAATGTTGCATCAAAAGGAAAATGAGCTTTTGGAAGCAGCTGAGATGTTTCGTGTTTTACATACTGAGAAAACAGAATTGCAAAGAATGGTGGAAGATCTGAAGATTAAATATGATGAAGCCATGGTGACGCTCAAAGAACAGGCTAATCAAATTTTAACATTGTCCTCAGACAAGGATCGTCAAAATGAAGAGCTCACATGCCTGTGTGAAGTGAATCAGAAGTTGGAGTCTGAAATGGGGAACCTGCGTCAGGAGCTTGGAGAAACTCAACTCAGGGAAAAGAAGCTAAGCTATGAAGTACTTAAGGGAATAAATGAGATTGAACAATGGGAAACTCAGGCTTCAACACTCTTTGCTGAACTTCAGATTTCTGCTGTCAATGAAACCTTATTTGAAGGAAAGGTCCGTGAGCTAGCTGATGCATGTAAGAATCTTGAACGCAGAAACTACTCCCAAGACAGGGAAAGTGAACAGATGAAAGAGAGAGTTAGCAAGCTGGAAGTTGAAAATGGAAGACTCTGTGATCAATTAGCTGCTTATGTCCTTGCTGTTGGTGCTTTGAATGATTGTATAACATCTTTGGAGATGCAGACTCTCGCACATGCAAAACCTCATGACTGTGAAGAATCAAAGGTATTTACATATCATTTAAGTATTTGGTTGTAACATTAGTATAGCTTCTGTCTGTGTGTGATTGCTACGGACCATAATTATTTGACAGTTTTGGAGTGGGTTAGATCCCCATTCTTGTTACACTCCTATGTGCTTTGAAGCACTGTAGTTGGACTGTTGAACTAAATTCCAATTTTCAACCCTATTATGATGTGTCTTTTTATTCACTTCAAATGCATAACATGACTTCATAAAAACCTTTGTCCCATGAAATATGGGGTGATAAATTTAGAAATCTGCACCAACAGTTTATGTAATGGTGTCTGGTTTTGCAATTAGTTTGTTTACTCTATCCTTGTCAAATGCTTTGTATTTTTCAACTAATAATAGTTTGCATGGTTAGGATGAAATGATTTTTCTTTGTTGATTATATCAACATGTGAAGCATGTTGGTTTCTAACATATGGTTCGTTAAATCATTGGCTTTGATATTTAGGGAATAGATCAATTTTCAAATCTATTTAATTAAAGTGTACTAGTTTTATTTTTCTCCATAAATTAGTCAATAATCCACTTTGTAGTATTTCAATGCTAGAGAACTTTGTAGAAATATAGGCAGCTGCTTCCTTGTATGCCAATGCCAGGTCATTGTTTTTGCTTGGTGCTTCCGTAATAATGTGAAATGATATTCTTCTTTTTCAATTTGTAACCAACTATTATTGCATTTCTTTTATTGATATTACAATCACCATTTTCAGGTTAAAGATTTGGTGAATAATGAATACTCTGAAAATGGTCATCAAACAGATGAAGATCAGACTGTTATGGCACCGGATGCACTCCCTGACTTCCAAAACATGCAGAGAAGGATCAATGCAATTGCAATGGCGGTTAAGCAGTTAAGTGAAAGTTTCAAACCCAAGAATGAAACGAGAGAGATTCAAGCAAGCAAGCATGTTACTCAAGCAAGGCCAGATATCCCCATTACCGAGATTGAAGTCCTGCCAAAAGACATCATGCTTGATCAAATATCTGAAAGTTCATCGTATGGGATAAGTAAGAGGAGAGAAATTCTTGAGGCTGATGATCAGATGCTAGAGTTGTGGGAAACAGCTAATAAGGATGCTACTGTTGGCATGCAAATTGAAAAGACACAGAAGATGGCTGCTGAAGCTGCTGCCAATCATCAAAGAGGAGCAACCAAGGAAGTCAAAAACACATCAAATTTTTTTATAATTGTAGGTAATGATGTCTATAGAGAAGATTCTCAAGATTTGAGAATAAATCTTTTCCAATAGGGAAGGGATGATGGAATCTTGCCGAGGCCAAGAAGACCAAGAGGTGATACATTGAAGGACCCAAGAGGAATAGGTTAATTTTGAAGACCTTTCATATGATTGTATACAATAGTTATTTGTATAGGTTCATTTTTCCTTTGTATTTGTGAGACACTTTCTTTCTTTCTTATAGGATATTCCTTTTTGATTTTAGAGTATGTTACTTGGAAACTTTTGCTCCATTTGACCTTGTATTAAGGGTCATTCATTTTCATATTCTCAATAGTAGAAGTGGGGTGACAAATAGTAAGGTTTGTAGGTGCAACTAGTAATTGGGTCAGGATTGGGCCTAGACAAAATTTTACATATTAGGCTTATTTTCCTCCATATTTTCCAAGGAATTGATTTTTCTAGGTCTCACCATCATTTGGTGAACTTAACTAAACCAATTCCAAGATTTTTGGATTGGATTACATGTTGGAACAAGCCTTGGCCGCCTAGCCTTTTTCATCTTGGCCGAATTGCTTTGGCTTGCAAAATATCCTTCAACAGATTCTACCGTGGAAAAGGAGTTGAGTGTGGACAAGTTAGAGATCTCAAGAAGATTGACACTACCGCGCGAAGAAGGGAACCAGAGCAAGATTTTAGAAAGACTTGATTCTGATGCACAGAAGTTGACCAACCTTCAAATCACCACACAAGATTTGATGAAGAAGATAGAAATTAATGAGAAGAACGCAAAGGGAAAAGGTGGTGAGTGTGATGAGGTGAAAAGGCAGCTTCAAGCAGCTCAGGATACCATCACAAAGTTGCTTGATGTCAACCGCAAGTTGATGAAGAATGTGGAAGAGGGTTCCTTGTCTTCTGTTGGGAAGGGTGAAGCAGAGTCAGATGGAAGTGGAAGTGTCAGCAGAAGTAGAGTTTCAGAACAGGCACGGAGAGAATCAGAAAAAATAGGACAACTGCATTTGGAGGTGCAAAGACTGCAGTTTCTGCTGCTGAAACTGGGTGATGGAAAAGAAAGCAAAGAAATAACAAAAGTTGCTGACAGAAATCCAAGAGTGCTTTTGCGAGATTATCTCTATGGTGGGACAAAAGCCTACAAGAAGAAGAAAAGGCTACCCTTTTGTGCATGTATGCGACCTTCCACCAGGGGAGATTAATTGTTGCTATATAGTTTGAAGTATGTGAGGCATTAGCTTTCTTGTTTGTAAAATTTTCTTTCTAAAGATGCTTTAAGACCATACATATTTTGATCATGGTGTACATGCTGTGCCTCATTTACTCGTAAGAAGAGGCCAAGGCTAGGATGGAATTTTTGCCATTTTTTTCTCCTGTAATATTCTGAATAATCACCTTTTTTATATCTGGTGTAGATGAGTAATGAGTGTTTAGTTTTTATCTGTTACCTTGTTAAACATTGTGGTAAAAGAGCAATTCCTTGACAGAAGCAGGCTCACCGGTTTGCTTTCATTGATTTCTTCCATCTCCATTTTTGGGCTATGGACTAAGCCCGTATAGTAACTTTTTTTTTTATTGGGTGAATAATTGGGGCCTAGCCCGAAAACAAGCGACTACAGAGTCTGAAGATATCAGAGAATTCTTGATCAGGAATCCACATTGATTTGTTCTAGACTTCTAGTTCTAAGACGTTTCCAAAGGATTTTTTTAATTCTCATGGCAGTTACTTTACATTTGAATAGATTATCAAGCATGATACATATTACATAATGATTCAACAGCCTACGTAGGATATTTTCTTCTAAGGATGCAAAGCCGAGAAATTATAAGACCCGTGCATCTTTCATTTTCTAATGCTTCTAAAACTTCTGCGGCAAGATTCACAAATTCTCATGCCACATATTGTAGTGGTAACATAACTGAGACGAAAACGAATAAGCTTTGTGAGCTATTAAGAATGTTCTTTGGCATATGACTCGGTCACACATTGTTCCAACCCTCTGATCCATCTTTCTTGGGGTTCATTTTGGATTCACTGAGCATGAAGTGGCATGCTCCAACGGCCTCTTCAACAGTTAGATAGATCCATTTCTGACCTAAATGATTTTGGAACTTCGATTTGTTCAATTTCTTCATCACCTCACTTCCAGGATTGACCAAAATAAACTGCATGTACAGTAATGAAAGATTAGGAGAAAAAAGAAATATATATCGTATCAAGCATGCTAAAATTGAATCTTCTGAGAAAATATTGGTTCATAATTAGCAGATAGCAAGAGAGAAAGAATTACTTGTAGCTCTCTTCTGTCAGTAATCTTCTTGACCTCTTCAAGCATACTTATTCCGCTTGTATCTATGTTCCCAACAGCTGCCAATAAAATTACACTGCAAATTAGATTGAAAATTCTAATAACCAAATTTTAGTTACCATTTTTTAGGCTCCATTACTTACCACTCATATCCATAATAACATACTGCAAACTTGTCTCCCCTGTAGCTTTGATTCTGTCTTCCTCTTCATCAATCCACCTTGTGATCCTATGCACAATAATAAGGTTTTCTGATAAGTGTTTACTTATTGTAGGCCTTTTTTTTGCATGCAAGAGAAATACTCCAAATTTGTAGGTATTACCTTTCTCTTAAATAGCTTGCATTGGCAAAGTAAATTGGTGCATCAATCTCTAGAATTAGGATTCCAGGAACGTGTTTTGCATTTGGATATTGCTCAACATTTCTGTATATCACAGAATTTGGAATGTGTCCCAAAACAAATGTCCTTGGCCTTGCAACAAATAGAAGTATCCGAAGTACTGATATTGCAACCTGAATATATATACACAGAGAAAAGCACATATTAATATCACAAACCTTTACCTTGATCCAAGAAATGAGTATCACAAAATTCAGCTGAGTGGAGGGAGTTTATTGACACATACAGCTATGACTAAGCCAATTTCAACGCTGCCAAAGACCACACCAATGTATGCACTCATGCACACGACAAAATCAAATTTGTCAATCTTCCAAAGATGAATGGCTGCTTGATAGTCTATGAGGCCAAGCATTGCTGATACAATAATGGCTGAAAGAACCACCAGAGGAGTGTAATGGAACAAGGGTGTTAGGAATAACAATGTCAACATTACTGCAATTGACATTATAATGTTGGATGCTGCTGTCTTGCATCCAGCATTGTAGTTCACCGCTGAACGCGAAAATGGCCCTGAAACAAATTCATTTTTCAGGCACATAAGTCAGCAATTGATGAGGAAAAGTAATTCATTAATTGTTCTTAATTGTGGGTGCATATACCTAGACATTTGGTGCTTATTGTTAATAAAACCTATACCTGTTGTGAGGTAGCAAGAGGTGAAAGAACCCACTATGTTCATGGTTCCAATTGCTATCATTTCTTTGTTGCCATCAATATGGTAATTTTTAAACATTGCAAAGCTTCTTCCCACTGCTATTCCTTCCTGAGCAATATCATCAAATTCAACACTTAAGATGTTATTGAAATCTACGGTAACAAGATTAGCTGATCTAGGATTTTGTCTATTATTGCATTTGGACATTCATTTACTAGATTACAAGTATGCTCATGATTCAATGGGAAAATAGGTAAAACGGGAATCAAGATAGATTAAACGATTAAAATGTACACATGAAAGGTGAATGTAGATAGTTATTGTTCGATCAACAAGCTATATATAACTTTTTAGGGTTTATATCTTTTCACTTTAATCTTTTAATAAGATCGACAACCGTGCTTTTTGTCTTTTTGAGTATTTAACTCTAGAGCTAGTTTTAATGTCATTTTTAGGGATATAATTGGGTTGGGAGAAATTTAAAGGGGAAAAGTCCAAATCAATTAATGTATTAAATCTTAGGGTCAGTTATCCCACTCTTTGAAGTGTTTCCTACGTAACGACCAATTAATCATTGTTATCGGGAGTGAATACTCCAAGGATGAACAAAAAAAAGAATAATAACAATGACTCCCAAAAGAATGGGACCACACAACGTAAATACTATTGTATATGCAGTGGATACTCTATGGACGAAAAAAAAAATAACAATGACTCCAAAAAAAATGGTACCACACAACATAAATACCATTGTATACGCCTTGTGTATGTAGCTGTATTAAATTCAAAGAGTGGGATAACTGACCCTAAGATTTAATACAGCTGCATACACAAGGCGGGGTCATTGTTATTGGGTATATTAAACTATTTGTAGATAATCTAATTTTCTGTTTTTAGAGATTTTACAATTATCGGTAAAAAAAGTCAAAACATTATATATAACCAAAGAATAATTCCTTGTACCAGATTATTCAAGATATGAGTACCCTTTGCACCAAGATATGGGCAGTGTATTAAATCTTAGGGTCAGTTATCCCACTCTTTGAAGTGTTTCCTACGTAACGACCAATTAATCATTGTTATCGGGAGTGAATACTCCAAGGATGAACAAAAAAAAGAATAATAACAATGACTCCCAAAAGAATGGGACCACACAACGTAAATACTATTGTATATGCAGTGGATACTCTATGGACGAAAAAAAAAATAACAATGACTCCAAAAAAAATGGTACCACACAACATAAATACCATTGTATACGCCTTGTGTATGTAGCTGTATTAAATCTTAGGGTCAGTTATCCCACTCTTTG